AGCAATCTATCAGGGTTATCTCAATCAGCTAACTGCAACTACGACAATGGGAACGATCGCAGAGCCCGACAAATCACGCGAGAAGCAGCGATACAGTATCGCCAAGAAAGCCGGTCACGAAGCCTATCACAGACGAAAGCACATATTGGAACAGGAACTAGCTGAGGCGGAAGCGCAGTTTTCAGACATGGATTGGATCCGTAATCCGGAACAAACACAGAATGCCGAGAATCGGTTGCATAAGGTGGGGTTTTCCTCTTTCAGTCTGTTCATTAAAGAAAGTGCACATGCATGTTCCCCAACGGTGCCTGATATTTTCGCCTCACTGGATGAGGAAACGTTTGCAAAGAAATCGCTCACCTCAGCTAATTGATCGATGACCACCGTCTCAAATATCCATCTCTCTGTGTGCTTTAAATTGGACTCTCTTTGAGCCTGCCTTCACTGGACCGATTTCAGTGGATTCAGTCCTGAGACCTTCTGAATATACTTCCTATTGGTCCCATATTTTCGCTTTCATCAATGACCGTAATCAAACCGATTCGTTTCGCTTTCCTCATGCGCTATGCGGAGAATCACGTTATCTTTTTCTGGAAACCGCTGAACGTGCGGCGCAGTATACCCAAGAGCATTAGCAAACAACTTTGATGCGATATTTTCCACGGCACCTAGTTGTTGCCAGTGCTGACTGGCTCGCTGCACGTGACACGTCCCCGGTACTAAACTGGAAGCAGTACTGGTTGGAAATGCAGTTCAGCCGCGTTTTAACGTCGCCCTTGGAAATGGGTACCCATAAGACAGGTTCAGTTAGGAGCAACGTCCTCCTGTCTGTTAACATGTCTTCATCATTGGAACCGATGATTCGGAACCTAACCAGGAAATATAAGAGGAGATGCAGTTCCCTGCCTGGGAATGTTTCGTAAGCTTATCATCACTGCAAGTTCAACCACTCGCCACAAGGTCGCGGGTTCGAAACTCTCAAAGCTTCGTGATGATTCGCAATAAGGATGAGACAGCTGTGCGGTAGTTCTCGGCTTTTCAGTATAGATTAGCTTCAGTGATAGGATGAAATCTCACTTGAGTATCCTCACAAAACCCAGTTACTCCTTCGTCGTGCTTTCTTATTCGAGCAAACCTGGTACTGAAATGCAGTACTAAAAGAGGCGTGTCATTACTTCAGCCCCTTTCCTCCACTGTTGTAAAATTATCAAGCGTTCGACTGTACTCATCCGCATTCATTTCAGTGGCCATCTTTCCAGACGACAAATCTTACTCCATCGGTTGTTGCATCGAGGTTAACCAACTTATTGTGTGTCCTTACATCGGAAATGCCACTTCTGATCATACTGGCTGGACAGTGAAGAGGCTTCTAGGATCATTTGGTGGACGGATTTCTTTATTCTTGAGAAACACCGGAGCAACGATGGTTCTTCTTGGAAAGTGCGATTTCTCCAAGCCGAGTAGATCCTTGTTGTGTTGTGCAGGTGGCCGAGCTATTGGGTTACGCCTGCACTGAGCCTGCCAGACTACGCGATAGGGAGAAGACAGAGAAACTGCGGACACGGCTGTATTGCCAGGAAAAAACGTACAGAGCGTCTGCGTAGATATATAGGATTACTAATTGGGCAAATATGGTCGTTCACTTGTTCGCTTCGTACAGCCAATGGTGGTGTTCCGGTCGTGAACATTCTCAGGCCCACTACGCTGGTCGTGTGGTGCTAGCCGTTTGGTGGCAGCCGCCAACTCACCTACTTTCCGGACGTGTCGTACCGATGGTGACCTTGGGGATGCGTCACTCTGCACATGTACTTTTTCTTCTGTCTGGGTGCGCCCTGACAATCCTCCAAAGGTGGATGGAGGTTAGTTGTTCCAAGTGACCTTGGAAAGATTGCCCTGCCGCACTGCCCTGGTGACATCAAACGTGTTTGTTTGTCCCTTTTATGTCACGCCCATATTCACTACTTACTACTTGCTAGCGTGCTCAAGGGCCTTCGGGGCATTCATAAAATCGTCTATTTTATCAGTTTGCAGGATTGGTAGTTCAAGCAACCTAGATACGCTATCTCCTTGTCCCTCCGGCCATGTGGTGTGTGGAGCCATGAGGATGGAGGCTCCGATTTCGAATGCTAGGTAGAAACGTCTGAGAGTAGCAGTGAAAAGCTTTTTACGGAAACTGGCGGACAAGTGTGTTGTTATTACGAGTACTGGTGCAACAGGAGCACAGCGTATTTACAACAGTTAGGCTTTCTGTCTAACCGCTTCATAACCAAAATGCCAGCAAACAACTTTTGATGTCTTTCAATCGGCTGGCCTGCACACCGTTTTTTCTTGGTCAATCTAATCGACCACAATTTGTGACACCCGGAAGCTGTTCACTTTCTGTCGTAGAAACTGTAATGTGATTCAGCCTCTCGGCTGTGTGACGTGATGTGTGTGGCAACTTCATGTAACGACTCAACTGCGCGTTGACATTTACAAAGGCCTTTTAGCTGCTGACTTCAAAGGGTTATCATAATGGCTGTGTCGCTTGGCCAGACAGCTCAGTTTGCAAGGACTGACAACGGTTCTGCCGACTCATCTGGTTTATGTCCTCAGTGAGAACTGTGATTTCTACGAAGCAAAAAACTGGATTACGATCTGACAAATGTACACGAAAATGCTTGTAAATCTGAGTTTTCCTTAGCCAAGTAGGAAAGTTTGAGCGGTTTGGTGAGTTTCCTGTAAACAAGATGGTTTGGTTTCGTCTTACGCCTTCGTTTACCTATTGCTCTGTGACTCACCATTGCGGCCGTATAAACTCTGTGATGTGCCCCCTTGTCAATTCTAGCAATATATCTTGTCAAGGAGCTGAAGGTTTCTGGTATCGTTTTGGCTACATTGAATCACTTGGCCTTCACGATGACAACACCGACAAAGTTAATCTTGCAGCCCCGCGCCCGATTTTCAGAAAGTCATACCAGTGTGCCCACATATGCTTCCTGTAACACCGTGGGGGTAATTCCCAACCAATACTGGCAATATGCACAATCTTTATCCGTGAAATCAGGACACTACGCCTGTGCAAACCCTCGTCGTCCGGTTCAACAATTCACACGAATACACAAATATTTTCATCCTCAGAACCAATAGCAGCACCATTGGAGTGGTTAGTCCGTCATCAGTGAACGCCTAAGTAGCGTATGACAAAAATTAACTTGATGCTTTGAAACATTTGCAGACGGTTGATCGATCTTTAATATCCAAGTCAATTAAGGAAGGCTGAAATCGACTAGGTGGATACATCACCAACGTGACAAGCCTTTTTGATGAATCCAAATTTGTGAAATCATGTACCGAAGAAGGCAGGACACTGTCGATGTGAAAAGTACTGTCAAAAGTATTGCGACTTTTGAAACAGATGCGAATCATCGACAGTTCCATCGAGGGGAATGTTGGTAGCTTAGGTTGAGCTGGGCGATTTGGTTGCAAATATTTCATTACCAAATAAGGTGACGTCATCAGCGTATAGTTAGTTGTCTGTATGTTGGCGTCAAGTAGTACTGTGTTTGTGCTTACATATGTAGTGTGCACGCGAACAGCAGGGTAGCCTCTGGTTATGTTTGGTCGTTTGAATTGTCGGTTAAGTTATCCTAACTGTCCATTGCCGGTCTATGGCTTATGATTTTTAGAAGTACGTTTGACCGCAAGCATTCATGCAGGAAGTCTATTTGTTCGCGCATGAAGGCTTGCTGGTGGACAAAGCTCTCCCACCGACGAGCTTCAGTGAGCGTTGCACACCCAAACTAGTTTATTTTCGAGGGTAATATTGGTAGCTTAGGTTCCATAGGTGATCGCTGGGAGAACTCCGTCTACCGACAGGTCTACGAATGAGAGCAACTACACTTCCTCCATGGTTTCTTACGTAAAAGATTTCTTCGAAAATTATGAACCAGAGACCGGATATCCGGACCAACCATTCAAACGGCCAATCGTAACCAAAGGCCACCCTCCCTCCCACACTAACAAGACATACAAGCACAAGCACAGTACTACTCAGCACTTACGCACTGTCGCGTTGATATTAACTCGGTTGGTGACAGAACATTTACAACCAAACTGTCCAACTTAGTGAAGAGAACAACAACCAGTAATGACACTAATGCTTCTTGGTGCATAGCGTTACAACAATTCCCGACTTCGCGCTCCCACAAAATTACACAAACCCGACCTACTTCTCAGGACCATCCTCGCCATGTTCCGTTCTCCGTACAATTTTTTTGGCTAAATCGTTTGACAGTCTGTTAGTATTATTCAGCGGTATTAATATATAGTGTCGGAAATATGTTTCGAATCATCAGCCTGCTATGAGTTGATAATCCTCACCAAATTTCTCTTTGAAGTCATGCCGTTTCATACCGCTCGTCGAATCAAGAGACTTCGTTTGTTGTATATGTGATTGACGTGTTGACGGCACTCTTTTAAACTCGAAAGAACTATGACTACTATGTGCACTCCAGTTCCACTGGTAAATTTTACCGACAGAACGGTGAAATTCTGGCTCGGTAGTCTTCAAGTATTTTGCGGTAGATATTCCCATGAGTAAATTTGGAATTCCACGGTTAAATACTCCAAGACTAAAGATGATCGCTTCGTGAACGATTGATTTCCACTTGCCATTGACAGTGCTTGTCCTGGCGGTGCTTTAAAAAAAACTCGAACCAGTTATCGTTTAGCCGTAACACCCTTTTCTGTGTCTAGCTGCCATGCCACCCGAAGGAAGCACGAGGGCTGGGATACTGCTAGGTTGCCCAATCCTAGACAGGGAAGTCGAGAGGCAGAGGTGGGGTCTGAACCACGGACCTTCCGGTCAGTAAATTCGCGCTCTAACCACTGAGCCATTTCGGACCAGTGAATCTGAACTTAACATTTACGCTTGACGCTAAACACAACAATCTGTTACTTTTTCCCCGACGTATCTTTTCTGAAGAATGTCGACAAAACAGCGGAAAGCAATCTTGGACATGTCAGTATATTTGAATCGGTACCTTCACATTGCCACACGACGATCGAAACTCTCTTAGATGCTTGACCGGAGATGTGTTTCTCTGATTGTCAGCAAGTGGAACTACAGTTTTCAAACCGGATATTTTTCCGCGACAGATACTCTGGACAGGCTGTATCGAAAACTATGTAAGAGAAGTAAACAACGCATTAAGGTTTATATAAAGCCTCCGTGCATAGCCGTTGTGTACCTGAGTTTCAGTTGTAGCTCTTTCATTGAAATTGATTTGGTAGACATGATGTCGAAACATGTCACTACCTTTTCTGTATACTATTCATCGGTTTATGTCAAGCAGCGCATATTGACCGTACGGCAAAGCGTTTGTCGGACGGAACACGGGAACCCTAACCGGTGTCCCTGGGTGGTTGTTAGCTGGAATCTAGCTCTCGAGTATAGTCGCTTCGTACAGTTGCCGAAATAGCTCATTCAGCAAACAAAGGACCTACCTTCCAACATATATATCGTATATTCTTAATCGGTCACAAATCACAGGCCGTACAATTAGGGTCGGGCTACCGTAAACAATGGAAACATGTGTTCGCCTGCTAACTGTTCTGTTAGGCTGTGACTTAATCCATTTGTCTTTACTCGTTTACCTCTCCTTTCCTCATTCTCGCACATGTTCGTGGATGTATCCTACTATGCACATGCTTCTGACCTAGTAATGGGGATTTTCCTATGTTAGCCCACACGACAGGTCACAGGAAGTAAATATTGTTTGCTGCCTCACATGGGTCTGTTCTTTACTGATGTGTGTAAATTACTCCTCACTTTATACAGTATGTTGGTTTCGCACCTGCGTGGAGAAAACTCGTTAAAATTCCCGATGACGGTTACAAACAATTTGCCTTTGCCGAGAGAAGGATAACTTTTTCCCACCGTGAGCATGAATCTCCATCCAGTAAAGCCATGTTGCGTGAAAAACCGTGCACATTCGTCTCCTTTGTATGTTCATTATCGAATGAATGGCTGTGGACAAACTAATTCATGGACCTCATGCAAGCAATTTCGACGTCATGTTTAGTTGGCTCATTCATAACTGCATGCCTTCCGTTTTTGTGTTGCAGGAATTTAGACAGAAATACTTGGCGTTAGATCAGGAAGCTCGGGCGATAAACCATGACTTACTGCTCACTCACCAGCAACGTGTTTCACATTCTGTGGGGAAGCGCTTTGAAGCTGCCGCCTTGGCCTGGGATAACGCAGTTCGTAACGCACCGTCGAACGTGAGTTTAATTCATTGTTTTGTCCCTTGCTTCCTGCTTTCGTGTGTGATGGTTTAAGGTCCATTATTTGAATTCATCGTTAGTCGGGTTTTTTATGTCCTAGCTTACGTTGCATCGTTGGCCGGAGTAACGTGAAACGCAAGTGTCATGCGCGACAATACCGATGTCTATGTTGTGCCTCCAAACATATTGACTTTTTATCTTGCAGTGATATGAGTTGCTACAAAGACGAGCAACAGAGCAAGTCCATTCTAGCCTGACTCGAGGCGACAGATGGGAGCACAAGTTTGACCTTATAATGCCCCAAGAATCGTATGTTTTGTTAAATCTGTTACAGCGAAGTAAAAACAGTGCAGCGCTTCCACAAAATATAACTGAAATCCTCTTATGAACGTTCTTGTGGATATCTTGGCATATGTGGCACTTCTCACGCTCCTAAGAAATGCCAGTAATACCAGTAGGATGCTGGAAAGATTAGGGTCGGGCTACCGTAAACAATGGAAACATGTGTTCGCCTGCTAACTGTTCTGTTAGGCTGTGACTTAATCCATTTGTCTTTACTCGTTTACCTCTCCTTTCCTCATTCTCGCACATGTTCGTGGATGTATCCTACTATGCACATGCTTCTGACCTAGTAATGGGGATTTTCCTATGTTAGCCCACACGACAGGTCACAGGAAGTAAATATTGTTTGCTGCCTCACATGGGTCTGTTCTTTACTGATGTGTGTAAATTACTCCTCACTTTATACAGTATGTTGGTTTCGCACCTGCGTGGAGAAAACTCGTTAAAATTCCCGATGACGGTTACAAACAATTTGCCTTTGCCGAGAGAAGGATAACTTTTTCCCACCGTGAGCATGAATCTCCATCCAGTAAAGCCATGTTGCGTGAAAAACCGTGCACATTCGTCTCCTTTGTATGTTCATTATCGAATGAATGGCTGTGGACAAACTAATTCATGGACCTCATGCAAGCAATTTCGACGTCATGTTTAGTTGGCTCATTCATAACTGCATGCCTTCCGTTTTTGTGTTGCAGGAATTTAGACAGAAATACTTGGCGTTAGATCAGGAAGCTCGGGCGATAAACCATGACTTACTGCTCACTCACCAGCAACGTGTTTCACATTCTGTGGGGAAGCGCTTTGAAGCTGCCGCCTTGGTCTGGGATAACGCAGTTCGTAACGCACCGTCGAACGTGAGTTTAATTCATTGTTTTGTCCCTTGCTTCCTGCTTTCGTGTGTGATGGTTTAAGGTCCATTATTTGAATTCATCGTTAGTCGGGTTTTTTATGTCCTAGCTTACGTTGCATCGTTGGCCGGAGTAACGTGAAACGCAAGTGTCATGCGCGACAATACCGATGTCTATGTTGTGCCTCCAAACATATTGACTTTTTATCTTGCAGTGATATGAGTTGCTACAAAGACGAGCAACAGAGCAAGTCCATTCTAGCCTGACTCGAGGCGACAGATGGGAGCACAAGTTTGACCTTATAATGCCCCAAGAATCGTGTTTTATTTTGTCTGTTACAACAGAGCAGCGCTCCCACAAAGTGTAACTGGTATCCTCTCATGAATGTTCTTGTGGACATCTTGGCATATGTGGCACTTTTCACGCTCCTAGGAAGTGTAGTAATGCCAGTAGGATGCTGGAAACAGTGCGGAATGCACATGAATTTGGCGTATCCACGCTGTTTTTGGGAGGCTAACTATTAGGAGTTAGTGTCGGCTACGATTTGTCAACCTAGACCAGGCATACCAGTTGATGTTTGTTTCGCAGGTGATCATGTGGAATGCCAGATGTGAACCTTCAGTGAAGCTAGCCAGGATGATTCGGACGGTCCAAAATATTTGTCTTGATGTTGGAATGGGACTAGAATTAAAGGAACCAACCGCAACTAGATTTACAGTAGTGACTGCTTCGCGGTGTGAAATTCTCCTAGTATGAATGAGCGTCGTGTGGTGAGAGCATGAAAATTGCAGTCGATTGCTTTATCAGGGTACCTAACAAGCATCTCTGCCCATTCTTCTGTGAAGTATAGCCGCGAAAGTGACATTTCAACTTAGCCGCCCCCGACCCACAATTCCTTATCAAAGTGGTCGTTTTCCTCCTACTTTGCATGGACACATTGATCGGATCTCACCTAAAAATACATGTTAGGCAAAGTAACACGGCCTGTAACCCAGACTCCAATGCCGCAGATTGACTGAACGGTAGGATATTGTGTATGGTGGGATTTGAGGCAAAATTATGGCATAACTCAATGGGAACTATACGTGGTAAGTAATAAGGGGTGTCCCATACTCTGG